GTTCTTGTTGTAATGACGTTTCTTTTGCCGCCTGCATTTGAATAGCCGACAATTTCTTTCCATGAGCCGCTGAGCAAGTATCTAAGGTACAACAAAAAAATGCTGGAATTTCTAGAAGACCAACTGGCTCAAGTCCAGGACTTGTCTCTGGAGGAAGAGATTGAAAGCTTGGTGAATGAACTTCAGGAAGCAATACATAAAGGACAAAGGCTTGCTGCCAAGCACAAGGGTCTCTTTGACATGAGGACATTGAACATGAGCGAAGACGTGGAGAAGCGTGTGTTAGATATATGTGACATATTGTGCGACGTTGGTGAAAAAGTGCACAAAGTCCCTATGGTACCATAGTACCACCGGTGGTCATCCTGAGGGAGGTGCCAAGAGCATATTTTGAGGCAGACAAAGAGACAAGTTCGAAGATGCTGAGGTACGTCATCAATGGTGAGATGCCAAGTGGAGAGAAGTTGCCTCAAGAATGGCAGAGGATGAAATGTGAGCACGATGAGCAGATGAAGCGCCTGGAAGTCATTGATGATGATGCAGTGCAGGTGAGCGAATATACAGGTCAGGGGCATGCAGCGCTGTACACAAGGATATATGGAGGAGTGCTCTTGTGGCTGTGAAAAAGTGCTTACAGGACGATGCATCTGGATCAGACATCATATTGTTGGTGTTGTTTTTAAAGGATGTGCTCACACATCTGTCCTTGAGCTCGTTTCATGTGTATAGTGATTGGACATTGTACTGTATTGTAATGGATAATTAGATGAATTAGATGACTTAGATGCGTTCATCTGATTCTAGAAATGTGTTAATCATGATCGCCACGTTCATCTTGTTAAATGGGCCAATTTTTGGTATAATGAGGTTATTAGGGCAATTTAAATCATTTAGCCCATTTTTGGCCATTTGGGGTATTATTCTTTGATGGAGCCTATGTGATTATGAACATTATAGTCTATTATGATGTGGTGCGCGGTTATGGGCGGATGGGAGCCGCCAGGAAGCGGTGGAGTACACTCCAAGGGATTATGGGGTTGATCCGGCAGTACAGGCACCTGTCAGCTACCCGAATTACATCGAATCATAAATACAAGCGCCCCTACGGCCGTGGTACCTTGGAGGGACGTGGTATAGCTTGGGGAAGCCGCCTGGCATTAGTAGAGGTACGCCAAGGGGCCAAGGGACCATGTGAGTGGCTCTCCAAGAGCCGAGGTGGCATTACAGGAAGCCGAGGTTGGCATTACAAGATTGTATTGGACATTACATGAGGCCGAGGGTGTCATGACGAGAGGGGGAGCGCGTCACGTATAAAAGTGGGCACCCCATAGGCCATTTGTCTTAGTTTGCCAGTGCACTCGACCTTGTCTGGACCAAGGGGCCCACCACCATTGTAATACATTGAACGGAGCTCCGCCATTTGCCTCATTTGGTCGCCATTATCCTGGGGGATTCTACAATGTGGCTGACCTACATGCTATCACAAAGTCGTGGCGTTTCATTATGAAGCTTGCAGACAAGGATTTGCAAAGGGAATGCCAAAAAAGAAGGGTGCTTGGATGGCCAACAGAACTAAATCTATTGCAGCAAGCTACAGAAGCCTTGAAGCACTTACACAATCAAGAACCGCCTTTGATGCATGGCGATGCGAAGGCCTCCAACTTCCTTGTTTTCCGTTACCCCTCAGAGAATTACAATATGAAGATTATAGATTTTGGGCTGACATGTAAAATATCAGATGCCACAAAGGGCAAAACTGCACGGAAAGGAGGTGGGACAGTCAAGTATTTGCCTCCAGAATACTATAATAGCCAAGTGCAATCTCTCTCATCAGATATCTACAGCCTGGAAGTGGTGATGTACGAAGCTGCCACAGGAAGAAAACTATATCTGCCCAAGGATGGCAGCCATAAGAGCACCAATTACTACATCATGAAACAGAAGCTTGAATGAAATGAGCCATGCAAGGTGACCTTGCAAGATTGCCCCACTATCATGCTGGACCTGATGCACGCATGCATTTGCTTGGACCCGAAAGAGAGGCCCACTATTGGGGACATTTGTGCATAGTTGCACAACACTAAACTTCATGAGACCAACGAGCCAAGTATACAAGTATTTGGATGCATCGTGCCCTTGAAAAATCACAACAAACTGGTAGGCTACCCGCTTTTCAGGATTCTGCTGCGCGGCTAGTCGCTGTGGATGTTAAGTTGCAGTCGATTGCTCATACGTGTGCATCAAAGACCTTCATTTGGGCTGATGTCTATAGTCTTATGCTGTTGCTGTTGAGATTGCTGTGTTTCTATGATTGCCTGCTTGACTTGTGGCTTGGAGTCTCAGTCGCTGAGTTGCCTAACATAATCGATTATGGAGCTTTCTGTCTGTTGATGTTTGTCTTCTGTTCCTGGAAACATGCGGCTGGACATGCGACAATCATTTCATTGCGTTTGAATGAGTTTTGCCTTTAAGCTGCTATTGAGATCTGGAAGTGCCGGCCATTCACCACAGGCTGATGCTTTTTGCGTGGACCATCCCAGGGCTCTGTGGAAGATCTGCATCATATCGTGAGTTCTGCAAGTCTGCAGTTGACCCATGTGCATTACAACACTGCTGTTCTTGCTTGGCCAGATGGAGTGCGTCAAGATATTGACAGATATACCGCTTGACACGCCAAGTGATGCGTGGAAAGCATTCAAAGGAGCACTGGAGGCAGGAGAATGTCTTATCAGAAAACACATATGCATGTTTGATCTCCAAAAATTCTACCCCGTCGATGAACTGAAAGAGCTGGTGGAAAGAATTTGCGTGCGTCTTCAAGGTTCAATCAGTTCTATAAGCGAGGGTAAAGATATGGTCGTTGAAGAAGGTGTTCCTGAAGATCATGTTGCCATGGGTAAAAAGTACTTGAACACCCATCTGCGGTTCGTTCTCTTCGGGGAGCAACCTTCAGATTGTGGTGCAGGGGTCGGAGATGAGTGGCATCGGGTCAGGAAAAGCTACATTGAGCAGATGAATAACGTGCAGATCATTCCAGATGATGAAATCGACTTGGAGGGGGCGAAGGAAATTGGCACAGGCGGTGAGGGTGCACTTTACAGGACCCATTGGCGGGGTGGAGAGGTGGCCGCGAAGCGGCAGAAATTTCACCACGAAAAACTGAAGATTGTGTGACACGCTCAGGTATTCACCAAGGCTGCTCTGAGCACTTCCATGCAGCATGACCATGTCGCGAGTGTGCTTGCTGTGAGCGAGTCGGGTAATACGCTGTGGATGGAACTGGCGACTGAGAATCTGATGACCTGGTACCGCCGTCACAAGAAGGCATCCTGGAATTCGAAGGTCAATGCCATGCACCAAGCAGCATCAGGCCTGGCGCACGTGCACGACCAAAAGGAAATGCTGGTTCACTGCGATTCAAGTCAACGAACTTTCTTGTGTTTGCCGATGACCCCGATGGGCCCCCTGTCATCAAGCTCTGCGACTTTGGTACGCTCACCACCCAAACCACTGACACGAGGACCATGGTGAGGAAGCAGCCAAGAACAGACCTGTACTGTGCTCCAGGGTGGTGTTGTGTGAAATTGCAGCACAGCGGTATCCGTATAAGGATGGGGAGGGTCTTGACCCAGCAGTTATGATGATGAAACACAGCGGCGAGTCGCCATGCCGCATTCCGCCTGACTGCCCGGCGGGTTTGAAGAGGCTCATCAAGCGGTGTCTTTCACAAGAGCCAGGGAGGCGGCCATGCATGAAGGAGGTGGAGGAGAGCTTGGCAAAGGAGCTGCAGGATTTGGACCCTGCTCGTTAAGTGGCCGGCTGAGCGCGGTTAGGTTGACTGCATTCCGAAGATATGGCAGATATTGTATTCTTGAGTGGTCGCAATGCGCCACCGGCAGCGGTAGGTCGGACAGCCGCAGTGCAGCAAGGGTGTGGCTAGGCACAAACTACGCTCAAGCCTGTTGTGTGGTGTGTGATGCACTTGCTTTGATTGTTCCCAAAACTGAAGGGTGCGTTCGAGGACACCCTCCCAGCATGCGTGCAGGGAAGCGCTGCACGCAGCGGAGGAGGCTGTGACACCGCGACCGGAGAACATTGTCCACTGCCTCTCCTTCCACTCCCATCGATAACTCGCACGGATGCCCAAATGTCATGGGTGCAACGAGCCCACAACACCTACCACAGCGAACACTCGCTCCAGGGGCAGCTTGCTCCGTCCCCAGGGGATTCTTTTGTTTTTGAATTCCAAATGTATTACACTATGATGCGAAAAGAGGAGCTTCCCCACGGATCGTGAAGCGCAACAGAACCTTTTCCAGCAAGAACCAAGGGAATGCTTGTCCGTGTACTGTCTTTGCGTACTGTGGTGTGTGCTCCACAGCATACTGTGCCGCCGCAAACAGCTCCAAGTTGCAATGTTTGAATGACCACCGACGCAGCTTGGGGCGACCCGACGGAACGACTCCATCAGTCATGGCTAAAAGTGTGTTCTTACATGCATAATATGTTCAAACCTGTCTGTCTACAAACATCCAGATTGGCGCCTGTCTGACATGATCGCTTTGATCGTGTTGCAAAACAGTCCCGCAGCAAGCCCTCCCATGCAGCGAGCGACGTGATGCACCACAACCACCAAATGGGTACTCCGTTCATTGACGACACGCTCCCTGCTGGCACCCCCTCCACCTCTGTGCTGCAGAACTTTCCACGTCCAGAGAATGTCTCCCAAACTATCCTTTCGTCAGCCACCTATTGGACAATCCTGCAGTCGCAATGTACCAGAAAACGCGCATCTGCTTGCATTGCTAAGCGCCAACCAGCTGAACGTCTGTCTGGAGGCGAGCTTGCTTCCCATTCTCCACCACCGACCGGATGACCAAGCATATCCACGGGCCAATTGGGCAGCCATCCAGACACACAGGCCCTCTTGGTAGATATCTAGCTGGGAACCGACCCTCAAATGAGCTCTCTCCTTCTTTTCCCGTCGCTCCCCCCCTCCCTCACACAATCTCTGTGTCCAAGATGCGCTTTCGCAGCGTCAGTAGCTTGTACCCCCCTGGGCATCGCGGGCGGCCTGTAACCCACTGAGTGCGCACGGCCACCAGTGCGTCTGCCCTCTCATCCCACCTCGAATGGGTTTGAGGGCGGAACAGGCCATCCTTGCCCTCTTGCAACCACTGCACTGCCACCATCTTCTTGCCGCCGCTTTCGCGCCCAAGCCTTTGCACCAAATAAAAATACCTGCAGGGCCAGCCCATAGGTTCTTCAGTGAGTGTACCTTGGCGATCAACCGACCAAAGTGGTATTGTGACGCGCTCTGACAATGACAAAACGCACTGAGAGTCAGGCAAAAGCGAGTTTTGGCACGTGTCAGTGTCGAAGCATTGAAATTCTGCTTCGCTAGCCAGCCCAAACCAGGTCCTGAATTCGGCAATAGTACACGTTGCTGAGGCCTCATCTGCAATGTAATTCTTGACATTGAATTTGCAGAAAGCCCACGCAGATATCATGTATCTGCTCTGATTGACACACCACAACAGAGAATTTAGACAAGCCACAAAAACCCTTTGCCTATTCAGCTAGTTGCTGTCCAATCCGTTGACAGTAACACTGGACATAAGGGAGTCCCCTTGTAAAATTTCACTCCACCACTCGATTATTGTGTCCTTTCATTACTGATATCCATCATTCCGCCATTTCATTGTCTACGGCATCATTTCAATGCACGAATTGTCGTCCAATTTCACACCCCCGAGCCAAATTCTCACTTCTCATTAGTGTTCTCATCCTCCCCAACGACAGCCACGGGCCTCATATGGTCGTCCTTCCTGCCACTGCGCGACGGACCAGTGGTTCTGTCACGCCGAGCTGATCCTGGGCACCCCCCGCTGCTCCTGGCACTGGTGCCTGCATCTGTGCTAGCGTTATCGCAATCTGCCTGCCTGCCATCGCTTGCTTCCCTTTGACAGAGTTGACGACGAGGTTAAGCTGACAACCAAACAGGCAGTGCTCATGAGAGGCGCCCATGCCCACAGGCAGGTGCTGGCGAACCTCCGCTCTGTTCGTGTTCATTTGGAATGTGCAGCCCTGATATTTGGATTCTCGGTCGATTGGTGTTGACTAGTTACTGGCAATGCCACGATTGAGCAGGGTGACTGCGTGGCTTCCGATTGAATCTTTGCTAGCAGATGCTTGTACTGACGCTGTCTAGAATTCTGGCCAGGTTCTCAACAAGAAGAAAACAAGTGTGCAACCTAGCAAGCAAATTGGGCGTTACTTAGGAGCAAGCACTCACTAACACAGAACTTGTCAATTTCGTTAGCGAGACGAGACACCAGCGAAAAGACTACAGCACAATTTGGATTTTGATACCAGAGGACGTGGAGCCATGCATTCCAAAGTGTCCACAACACTGCACTGGACATACTGAATCTGACATCACCAGCAATGTGCAGGGCCAATGCTCTTTCCTGCAAATGCAACTACTACTGCAGTGGAAATCCAAGCACAAGATGGTGTCTGGCTGCTCGTGGCACTCCATGCCCCCTCACCTGGCCACACCTCGGACCCGCTTTCTGCCACCAGCGTTGGCCTGCTGACCCTTGCGCTTGACGGCGCCTGAAGTACATGGAAGACAAGCGCAATCAGTGCAAGGGTGATAGAACACGGCCTGGTCTGACTTCATGCCTCATAGCAATGCCCTAATTTCTGGATCAAATCGGAGCAGTTTACGCATCCCATTGAACAATATGAAATTTAAGCAACAAAACTGGCAAAGGGCCCAACACCACTTTGGCTCCAAGTGAAGTAACTATCAGTCCAAATCTTGCCATGGCCAGTGTGATGAAATGGTCTTGATCCTGCCCCACACCTTCTCTTTGACACAGGAACAAAAAGCTGCGTAGCTTTTCTCTTGTCAGCCTCAGTGACATTTAGCACGGCTGGAGAACACTAACGAGGTGCCAGGAACGTTGCAAGGTTGCTGATGCTCTGATTCGCTATGCTTTTTCAATCAGTGCGATCGTTGACAACGCAAATCGTGATGTCACCAAAAGGACCTAGATTTAGCCCTGCTGGATCAGTGGCACGTCCAGAATGACACAGACAACAAATGGCTTAGGCCTAGTACTCTTGTGTGACAATGGAAACTCACTTACATTGCCGCCTTCCTGCCGCCTTTATATTTGCCCTCTTGCCACTCCCCGTGCTGTCCATGAACTTCCCCTTCACTACCTTAGATGCCACTGCTGCAACCAACTTCTTCCCTCTCCTGCGCTCAGGCATGGAGCTCGACTCAACAGGTGCACTCCTTTTCTTAGCATTCCGCCTCTCTGGCACAACCACCTCATCACAATTGTGGAGACCAGCGACAGGGCACTCTGCATCAGCTGCCATCTGCACAGCCTGGTTACGAGTTGTGATCTTCCTGGGTGGCTTCTTGAACATGTCCATACTGATCCGCACAGCGTCCTTCAGCGCACTGCAGGTGCACCGTGTGGCGTTCTCACCAAGAGGCAGCCAGTCCTCTGTGGCAAAATTCACCTTTATGGGAGGAGGAGAGTCATCAGCTCATGAGCACACACAAATATCGCTTCCCAGAACTTCTGGGCATTAGTTCACTGAATACCCCACTTGCACGCAGAGTTCAAATTCCTGACGGGCGTCTCAACTGTATGCAATACCTTGGTTCCCAATAGGACCCATGTACCCTGTTGTCTGAGGGATAATGGCTCATCTCAGCCTCATGCCCTACGTCTTGCACTGCATGGCTTGTGGCATCTTGAGACACTAGTGACCAATGCGAAACTGCAATGGAAGTTGGCTGGGACAACAAATAGGGCCCTGCATGCAAGCAGTGAGCCCCTTGGCACGCACCGCTTCTGCGCAGTTGAAGCCCAGGTTGAATCCAGAGTGGTACGCCCCAGCATTCAGCACGATGAACTCCCCAGGCGCTTGCTTCGCCTATGGCCCAAACAAGCTCCCCACATGAGCCACATCCATCCCCATCTAATCCACACATCAAGAAGCCAGGGCAGCCTGACCCAGAGCCACCACAGCACGGCTTTGCATTACTATCGGTTGTGCACTTCTTCTCCTGAAACTCTTGAATGTCCCCCATAGTGCTCACAAGTGTCCAACAAAAGTGTGGCTCAAAGGGGTCTGGCCATTGTGTGATATGTTTCTTTTGGCAAGAAGACAATCTTCACCACAACCAGCTCACGGGGGGCATCAGGAACCCTTCCCTGCTCCCCTTGTCATGACAACAAAACAACCTGCAACACCCAACACATGGCGTTGCTTGCTCTGCCGTGACTTTGCCTGCAAATCGAACAGGAAATGCAGCAGGACACTGTCACAAGTACATTGCCTTGTCAAACATGCAGACTGGAAAGGGGACGCAGGCGCAGAATGCCGATGCCAAGCGTCATGGCACCAACAGCTCCACCACTCAGCTTGCCAAGATTCTATATTTTTTGGGCGGTTCATGTGCATCAATCATATAATCTGCCAGGTGTTGCAACTATGCCAAAGTGCAGCACAAGACCCACCACAGCCATCCCAAGGCAGGCCCCTGCATCGCCGTTGAGGTGATGGGGCAAGGCACACCTCTTTGAAGCACTAACGAACAATCAAAACTACATTGCATCCATACCCACACCCAACCCTATTCCACAACACCCCTATCCCCCCCTCCATCAAACCCCTTCCCAAAGCAGGCCACCCCAGCTGATGCTGCACAGTCAGCCACACCTGATGGTATTTTATGTTGTAAGACTTTAAGAACGAAGGGCTCAAGAGGATGTCCTTATGGCGCAGGAAGGCCTTGCACTCACGGTGCATGTCCGGAAACAAGCTCTGGGCCATCTGTTGGAACTTCTCCTTGTTGCCCGGCGACACACAGTACCACACCTTAGGCGACCCCCAATGAAGGTAGTTCACGCTCATCAGGTCCATGTCCTCCAAATGCCAGGCGAAGTAGGACTGGGGTCCACACACAGCAACATTGAACGCCATACACTCAGCAGAAATCGCCCTGCCCAAATTGTTATTGCATTTGACCCTGACAACTTCTGCATCTCATCCTTTGTCCTGGGGAGAGAAATTCGCCTCTGTTCTTCGAAAAGGGCCCCTATACATGAGCTGGTCGTACCAAATAACACCAGCAAAATTCAACCATATGCCAAAAGTGCCAGGCGATGAGGGTGCCCAGACCAGCAGCAAGGGAACACTCCCAGCAGGTGCATCGAGGACAGCTGGAGGTCAAGTGCTTTCCCCGGGCTGAGCATGCCCTGCCAAGGGGGCCACCATCAAACCTCAAACCTCGTTGCCCAACAGAGCCCCCTCCTCTGGCCTGAAGCACGGTGCAGTAACTGCTTGGCTTGCCATTAACAAAAGGTCAATTTTTGCCAGTCTTGTCAGCACAGTGGAAAACAACGACGGGTGTCACCCCTGGTAAGGCCAGTTCTCTCTGCATGCCCCCTTGCGTGCATCACTGTGTTTTGTCCCAGAGCAGCCAGCGTCGAAATGCCACACCGATACGGGACTTTCATTCCTTGGGGCTCGTGAAAATCAGGACAGCGCACGATCGTGTCAAATTATGGCCTCACAAAGTTCTTGGGCGTGAGGGCGGGTTTGCGACAACGCTGACCTTCCACATGCCGAAGTACGTCATCGGGAAGGTGACGCCCGGGATGTAGGGCACCGGGTACTGCTTGAGCAGGCAGCCCAGATCCCGCAGGTTCCAGCCGAAGGGCAGGTCCTTGTCGAAGAACGACTGCGGCGTGTCCGCACCGTACAGCGGCGGCCGGAGGGTCACGGAGCTCCAGAAGGCGCGCTCGCACATGTCGTCGTCCCTGCGCCCAACTGCGGCACAGGAAGCGGGGCAACGGTCAGGGCCTGATTCCGGGACAAAAACTTGGGTTGGAAAACTTGGATTTCTGCGGACAGTCGCTGTCGACGGGGGGCAAGGAGAGCGAGCCCCTGCGCCTTGGTGACAACGACGGACGCGGCAGCATTCCAAGAGCGCGCTCGTCAGCAGCGACTCAGCTGATCATCCACGGCGTTATCAGCTGACAACATTTGTCACCAGTCGTGCATCCCTCCCTCGCACGAGGCGACGAAGGCGTCGGATGTTCGGGGCGGACGGCGGAGCCCGCGCGACGCGGATGATCCGTTCTGATCGGCGCCGCGCGCCCCGCCGGTCAACGATCGATGCATTGCCCTCGGCGGTCGACTCTCAAACATCCGGCAGGATGTTTCAAGCAATGAAGAGCAGGTGCTAGCAACGGGCGTTTGGGTCGCTTCCAGCCAGCGCCACGTGGCTGCCCTCCTCGCGCGCCGACCGTCCGCCTATTGAGACTCCCCGCCGATGCGCCGAGCCGCCCACCCACACGACGGACCCCAGGAGACAGCAACTGCAAACGAGGGTCCGCCTTGTGATCCGGACCTGCCCCCGCCCAACGCAATCGTACCTTTGGGCGGTACGTGCGACGCCTCTCCGATTGCCACCCTCTCGAAATCCGCGGCGCTCATTCCCTGCGAGGCCCCGCCCCGACGGTCAGCAACCCGTCATCACCATCCGACGCGCGCGCCCCAGGCGCTTCTCCACAACCCGGCCCCCGTCGCCCAGGATGCCCCATCAACCAATGCCTCACCTTCTGCTCCACCAGCAGGCACCTGTACGCGCCCGCCTTGCCGAAAGCCTGTCGCCACGCCGCGGGAAAGGCACACACCACCCGTCAGCTCACGGCCCCATGCCGACAAAAGCCGCGCGACCCGGCCAAACCCATGTTCACGGCCCCCACGCACGTGCTGTCGAATCGGACACGAGATCTCGATGTTGGCCAGGTCGGGGAAGCCCGGCCGCCTCCTGGGCGCCCAGCCCGCCGGCGGGATCACTTTGAACATCGGGATGTCGGGATGATCGGCCATCACGCGCCGAACGAAATCGAGAAAAGGCACGCGGAACTCCTCCGGCGTCGGCCGCAGCACGAGGCACGGCTCGCCGCTGCCGGCGGCCATGCCGCGCCGGGCGCGGCGGCGGCGCCGCTAGATCCCGAGGAGGGGTAGGTCAGGAAAGGGGGGGTTGGGAGGGGCGGGGGGTGGGGGATGATGGCGCAGAGAGGCATGGGGGGTCAGCTCGCACACTTTGCTTGGGGCTGGCCTTGTGATGTGCTCGAGCGCATGCCCATCCAGTGGATTCCACGTGGATACAGCTTGGCGGTTTAGTAAACAGGGGGGGGGGTTGGATCAGGGAGTCGCCGCGGCGCATGTGTTGGTCGCCACTTTGGCTAACCTGGCCTCCGCTGATGGCTCTGCGAGGCATGGGGGTTCGACTCGCACTCTCTGCTGCTTGGGGTTGGCCTTGTGATGTGTTCGAGCGCGTGCGAACCTGGTGGCTTCAAAGTGGCTTCATCCAGCCTGGCGGTTTCGTAAACTGCGAAACGAGTTGGATGTCAGCGCGAGTTGGATGTCGGCGGGATGGGTAGGAGCATCGCCGCTTCGGTTTAGCTTGCCTGCGCCGCTGGTGTGGACCACTGGAGGGGGACAGGCTGGGAGCCAGCGCTGGGGCGGCGGGCTTGGAACGAGCCTTGGGGCCCGTTCGGTTTCGGGGACGGGGTGGATCAGCGATGGGGGTCTGGGACCCTGTGGACGTTGGGTGGGGCAGTTGGAAGCTCGTAGACGGGAAATCGGGGCCCCAAGGACCGTTGGCCGGCTTCGCGAAACGGAGGGACGCGGAGAGAGGGAGCCGAGGGCGGGTGCGAGGGGCGGCAAAGGAAAGGAGTTGCTCTTTTGGTCAATTTCTGGGGTGAGTTTTCAACAGACCAACGCAGAGGAGCGGGTGGCGGAACCCCCCTTCGAACCCGCTCAAGGCCGCCACTCCCACACAGGGCGCTCAACCAATCCCTCCGTCAATCCTTCCGTGCGCCCTGATCCCCACAATCAAACCACCAAAAAGCCTGGGACTTCAGAAGCAGACAGCGGAACTCCGAGAAACGTTCTCCCGGGCCCCAAGGGACAGGCCAGAGCCAAAGAGACGAAAAAAGGGAACAAAACCTCGGCGCACAAAACACGGGAAAAAGTCCAGCTCATTGGCGCGAAATTGGTCCCTGACAGAATCCCAGGGCGCCGGGCGGACAATGCGTCGCGGGTTGCCGGCGATGCAGCAGCAGCGGCAGAGACCGCGGATGGCCACCCACCCGCCGGAGGCCGGCCTGGCCCCCAGGCGGCAGCCGCGCCTCGCGCCCCCCGGCGACCCACCCGCATGCCGCCGCGCCCCGCGGCGCCATGGCCCCAGCGGCCGACCGCCAGGCGATGGGCGGATGGCTTTCGACGTTCGTTGCCTGGCGCCGGGCGGGAGGTCGATGCGAGGGGGCGGCGGGCGGGATGGCGACGTGGAGTGCCGGACGTTCCTGGAGGAGCTGGAGAAGTTCGTCACGAGCGAGGGGACGGTGGAGGAGGTGTCAGAGGAGCAGTCGCGAGTGAGTTCGGGGGGGCAAAGGCGTGGGGGATGAATTAATCCATTCATTGATTGGTTGTCTGAAGTTGTGTGAGGAAGCGGTTCGGGGGCAGCCGGGCGCTGGTCTTGGGATTCAGGGTGGTGGTGGGCGAGGGTGCATGCGTGGAAGGTGCGGAAAGCGGTCGCGGTCGATGAGTGGGGTGCTGTGGCATCTAGCGCCGGGGGGTGGGTGGGTGGGGGTGGCCCGCGACCACGGCCCTGTCGGGGCGTCGGCCTGATCTGACGTCAGGGAGTTTCGGCGGATCACGGCGGGCGGGATGCGGAGGACTGGCGGGATCTGTGGGGTGATCTTTGGAGTGGGGAAGACGTCGCGCTGCCGGTGCCTGGGTCTGTGGCGTGCGAGTCGGTTCGTCGCGGCGTGGTGGTGAGTTGTCTTTTGGGGGGGGGGGAGGGCGTGGGGCACGGCTCTGAAAGAGACGCAAGAATTTAATTAAACGGCACGGTGATGCTGACCGGCGACCTCCTGTGGACTCCATTCGGCTCCGCAGGACAGAATGGCGCACAGTAGTTTGTAGACGGGGAGAGGCGTTAGTGCATCCAAGGTAGTTGCCGGTACATAGTTGTTGTCTGCGACTGGATAAATGCGCCTCGACAGGAAGAGGAACCTGATGCAAGACTACTCTCTGAAAGAGTGTTGTCACAACTGAATGAAGCCATGCTTCACCTTTAGCCCGAGTCAGCACGCATAAGAGAGGTCCAATAGCACAGAGGGCACCCCTGGATCGGCTCCATTTTTTCATCACTCCACCTGTTGTGAGCACGTGCAACCACTGAGCGACTTGTTTTCCTGTTTGCCACATGCAAACGGTGGACGGAGCGTGCTGACTGGTGGTTGTGGCCTTGTAGTTTGACTATCTCGGGGAAAGCAATGAGGGGGACCTGCAGCTTATGGCGCCGATCGTCACTGACAACGAAATCAAGGTCTTGGGGTTGAAATCTGCAGAGGAGGTGGTGGACATGGACTATGGCAAGCTGCACAAGTCCACACAGGTGCTGGGCTTGAGGGACACCAGACACCCCTGCAGTGAAAAGTTGCCACATTTGTTAGCAGAACGTCTTTGCACCTTTCTGGAGAGTTTTAATTGTAGCAAGGCAACAACTTTTGTTTGAAGCTCAGACAAAAAGTTTGCTGCTGGCCACGACTTTGGAGGGAGTTGCACACATTGTACTGTTGGATGGTCTGTTAAACAGTTGCTTCTCTGCTCTGCAGTTTGATCTCTTTGGTTCATGCAGTTGTTCCTTGTTGTCTGGATGAACACATCCTTGACATAGGTTGAAATTTTGCATGACACAATTGGCACTATACACTGAAAGAGGCTCATCTAGTGACAAACCAATCAGTAGACATGGTGTGTAGAACTGATTCCAGTGAGAACATGGCTTGAACAGCTGTTATGTTGTAGGAATCGCTAAGCAGTAGCGTTTTGTCAAGTTTCCCCTTTCTGTGCTGCTGGGGAATGTGCAGACCTTAATGTGTTCCCCATTATCCTCATATCTGTCCTGTAGAATTGGAATGCCTCTCTCCTGCAGTTAGCAACCTGTGCCAACAACTTGATCCATGATGTGTCACAGGGCCTGCTGGACCAGTTGGGGGTGCCGTTGGTATTTCCAGAGGGTCTGCCACAGAGGGGCATCTACTGTAGCAGAACACTGAATTTTCGATCCATCAAATGCATAGGTGTGTTGAAGCAATGGAGGCTCAGCGCCCAAATTTGGCTTCATGTTCCCCTTCCCAAGGGGAGGATCATGTGCAAAAGGGACTTGAGCACGAACTGTCCAAGTCAAAATGGTGGCATCTCACCACAATCAACAGGCAAAGTTATCTGACAGCCCCATTCTTCAGATGGATGCCGTCCTTCTTGCAGTTTGGTCATGTTATTGCAAGACTGCTCACTCGACCAGTGTAAAATCTTTTTTGGCTCACTGTTTGCCCACCCCACCCCAACCCACCCAACCCCTTTCAAAATGTGTTTTATGATTTGTACAACTTTGTCTGAAGGGTGGAACAAAAAAATGCAGTCAATGACCACCATTTCCAACGCACACCTGTGTTACATGGATGAACTGTGATGTTGGGTGATAGGTAAATGGGCAGCACTATATCTAGCTGTTTTTAGATGATATGTAAATCCATTTGAATTCGAAATACTAGCAGTATTTCACAGTCAGTTGAGCATTTTGGCCATTGTGTTTTGACAAGTGGAGTCATGGGTGTGGAGTTATCCCCAGGGTGACGTGCCTGACTGTTGCATGGATTGCCGTGAAGGGTATGACATGGACTACACACTAGTGCATTATGATGTCAATGCCTGGGAAGGCCGGGCTTACCAGTATGGTATCAGGAACCTGCGCAGCATCGGGTACCCCACTGAGGGCCTCCGTTTCGACCCTGACCTTGTTGTCCGGGGACTGGTGGTGGACAAGGAACTTGGGAACATCGTGAAGACAGACCGTTTCGGGTGCGGGGCCTTCCGGTCAGTCAGTCAGCCCCTCAGTTTGTCAGGAGTATGCAAAATTGACAGTTGTGCAACAAATGTTGTGGCATCAAGGCAGCAGGGATATATGAGTTTGCATGTGGGACAGACAGGGGCTAGTCATCACTGAGAGCAGTGTGCTGTGGTGCGGCGGCCATGGACGCGCAGGATGTCTTGGACAGATTCTCAGATTTTGCACTTGATGTCTTGTTTACTTGTCTTTTATTCCTTCTTTGTGCCTGCAACGATGGGAGACTATGCACTCAATACAGCTGAGGCCAGCTGAGTCCTGTGGACCGCAAGCCTTGTTTAGTGGTGAGGTGGCACCTAGTGATACCCCTTCCTGATGTTTGAATTTCACACCGAAGAGTTGCACATTGGCTGTCCTTCCTCCTGCTTGTGCAGACATGGGGCAACTATAATTTGGCCACTTGCTGTGCTCACAGGATTCCAAGACGTGGCATGCATGGCACAAAGCAGATGTCGATAAATGAGCTGAGGCATACGTATGGTCGGCAGACAGTGGACCTCAGGAATGAAGAGCGCTGGAATTTCATCAACACATTTTTCTCAGTTTCAGAGGCAAACCTCTATTTGCAGGTGTGCTTGTGTGCACCTGTCATCTCTGGCAATAAGACGCCTGGGAACCTTGCTGGTATCAGTTGGTCTGTGCGAAGTCCCGAGTGGTTTGTGTCAGTCCTTCAGGAACAACTATCATTCTCACTCTGTTTCTGTAATGCCAAGTTTCCACCACAAGGGAGGAATCTGGTGCTGCTCCCCTGCCAACGAAACAAGAAGTATTTACCACTTTGAAGAACTGGGCCAGGCCTGGAACAGGATTGATGATGTGAAAACGACTGCAGGCACTAAGTAGCTTCGTGGTTGCACAGCTGTTGAGCCCTGCACTTCCAGCGAGCAGGACCTCCTGTTGTCTCTCCAATGGTGTTCATGACACCTCTGTATCATTTTCCCCTGCTGGGGTGATAGCACAACACATTATATGGGACAGTAGCACTTTTTGTGAGGCTTATTGCATCTGCCTGTGGCGGTCACTGCCACTGGTTACATTTGAATGAAGTGCTAGTTGTTGTGAACTTGTGATCTAAAATGGGCCCCCCCTTCTACAGCACGTGTGTGCACTCCACTGGCACATTTTGGTGCTGATACAGAACCTGCTGATACCAAACATCACAGCGTGCAGTTTGTTTGCATATTTGTGTTGCCAACACTCTTGAATTGCATTGGTGCAGCTTTCGCCTGTGCAAGCAACTATGGTGCAACGCGCTTGCAAGTATGTGATCGTCAAGGCTGAATGGTGGTGGTGCAGATGGTGGACCGATTGGATCAGGGCCAAATCCCCATTTCTGTGGGATCACGCTCATACCTGGGCCTCTACAAAGCTGTTGGAAAGGCGCTGTATCAGACACATGTGGAGGGTGTCCTGAAGGTGCAGTCTTCCAGTTTCCAACTCCAGCTGTCTTGTGCCCTGATCCCTTTTGGGGTTTGCAAATGGATGGCAACGATGAATTGCCTTCTCTTTGGCTGTTCCTGGCAAGCACATCTGCAGACCTTTGTCCAGCATGCACGCTGCAGCAGTATGTGCTCTGATCATTCCCAATCAATCGACATCAATCTTCGGTACCAACTAACCCAGATTAACGCAACCACTTGCTCTTCAAAGAAGTTTGTTTTGCGACTTAACCTGATTGAGATTTGCCCTGTACCATCGCGCCAACCTGCCCAAGCTGGATCAAAGAGGGATTAATATGTTACAAATATGTCCAAATGCGATCAAAGGTTGTTGACTGATTGAAGTTCTGGAACGTGGCACGCACTTCATCCACAGGAGGAGATCATCCAAGACCCAGGGAAATTCGTGCAAGTGGACCCTGATATTGCCCAGACCCTGTTGTACCAACGGGAAGCCGGCAAGAAGCTCCTGCTCATCACCAATTCGGAGTATGAGTACACCAACAAGATGATGAGCTTCGCCATTGAGCCCTTCCTGCCTGGTGACATGAAGTGGAGGGACCTCTTTGACATGGTGGGTCTTGCCTTGCCTTGGTCACAAGTAGGTGCTTGGCGAGAGTTTACCAGTAAGTGTTTGGCCAACGTTTAGATGGTGGCAGTCGGAGAAGATTCTCCTCCAGTGATCGTTTGGGCAAGGATGTGCCCCAAGTATTATTGAACATGTGTGCACGGTTACTTGGGCATGTGCGACTTGTGATTCTTCCTATTTGTGATGGCACTCTGGAAGACGCGGATCTTGTATTAGGCTGGCTCTTCTCGCTAAGGACTGGTTCATTTGATCAAAATAGAGAAAAATTGAAATTCGTTTTGAGTGCTTTCGGCCTTTCATTCCAAAACTGTAGACTCTGCAGGCATCTGTGCATCTTCAGGCACTGCTGGGGACATGAGCATACACGATTTGTTTGCAAGATCAAATCAGCTTTATGTGGAGCCACTGTGGCAATTGCCTGGTTAACAACACTCGCTATCAGCACATGGCATAAATCTGCAATGATCAAATTTATCACAGAACACGAAATATGAAATTATTGAATACATGAAATATGCGGCAGAAGGTAACTACTTGGCATCTCTGAGCGATACCTGCCCAAGCTTGTGCCCTCAACACCAATTTGTGCCTGTGCTACCTTCTGATCGTGGATTCGAACTCTGTTGGTCTGGCAATGTGTGTGGCTCATGTCGTCGTTATTCAGATGAGTACATTTTTGAGAAAGCACGAAGCCCTCATCCGCTGCCAGCAAATCTCGAAACACATCCACGCTCTCGATTATATTCTCCCGGACGGGGCCAATGTTGTCAAACCAAGACCAACGGACAGCTCAGCGAAAAGGATGAATGAAATGAAAAAAGCTTGTGTGCTGGTTTCGGAATTTGTATGAATGCTTCGAACTGTATGGCGCTGGCCAGGTGATTGTGCAAGCTAGGAAGCCTGACTTCTTCACCTACAACATGAGCCTTTACGAAGTGGTGACGGACGATGGCCTGATGCGCCCGTGCCACACTGCCAGGCCTGGTGGCCTCTACTGTGGAGGAAGCGCCAGGATGGTGGAGAAGACGCTCAATGTGGAGGGGGACGACGTGTTGTATGTGGGAGACCACATCTACACGGATGCAGCCCTGGCAAAGATCAATTTCAAGTGTGTGCGGGACTTGCTGTGATCATGGGTTGTTGTTGGAGTATCAGCATTCGAAAGTGGCCTGCCACCACCCTGTGTTGATTGATCTCCGCATGGTAGCCGCGTGTGTGGGAGTCAAGTCATTGCCTGTTGTGAATTTTAGCAAACAGGTGGGTTGTTGCAAGTTGTCCCTTCATGACGTTAATTTAGCCATTCCTGAGGCACGGTTCCAATTTGCAAAATTCCAAATGTTTGCTCAGACGCACCATCCACCGCATGCCATGTGTCCGAACGCCGTGTGCAGGCATGTGAACGCCCTGTGCATGTAATGCACAGGTGGCGGACGGCCCTGATCGTGCGGGAAATGGAGAAGGAGATCGCCGCGGTCATCACGGGACAGGAGCACCGCGAGCAGCTGAACGAGCTGGTGTCGAAGAAGGAGCTCATAGGCGACGTCTTCAACCAGCTGCGTCTCCGGAAGAGCGTGCACCACAACGGGCAGCTGCTGGAGCACTTTCACGACGAGGAGAATCTCAACCGCGTCCTGGCGCAGCTGCTCATGGTAATGAATACGCTGGACGAACACATTGGCGACATGCTGGAGCGGGAGGGGGAGCATTTCAACAAGATGTGAGCCAAACAAGCCCCTGCGCTGTGTACCATGCTTGTGACTTGTGCTTTTTTGTCACGTATTGGGACGTTCGTTGCTGTTTTTTTGCTCAAGATTGCATTCAACATTCTTGTTGAATATTGCAGGGAAGGATTTTGCTGGACTTACAGCGCTATTTTGGCATTTTGCTGATCGCATTGGTCTTGGTACTACAAAAGCACGGTGCTCGCGGCTGTGGGGGAAGCCGGGCATGATGCCACCAGCTCTGTTGTCAGTCGTGCAGCAGAATGATTGCGGCGTTGAATGCAGCATGGCTGGAGACACAGGGCATGTCACGGGTCAAGTCTGTCGATGCCGTTTCTAGAAAATACAATGTGAAAGATGCACAAGGCCCTTGCACCAACCGAAGTAGAGACCTAACTCCCACAGTATTGAGAGAGGCCATGCAGTGCAATGTTCTGTTGACAGTCACCAGCTGACGTCCAAGAAATAATTCGAGACAGCCTCAGTCTGATTCGTCCAATGCACGATTTGGCAACTTGACGTTGTGAAAGCCATGCTGTTAGGAAGTCATGAAATTACGTTCGTCCTACTGCTCCTCGACAAACTAGAAGTACTGCTTGCATTCCCTGTGCTGATTAAATGAAGCTCCTGTTCCTTGATTTGCAGAAATTCGACAGATTGCTGCCATCTCAGTTTCGCCGTGTGTGAGGCGGGGCGCCACAAAACGTTCCATTTTGTGGTCTCCTCCCGTTCTGATCATCGCTTCATTGTGGCGGATGCCGCTGATTCGAAGTGGCCAGCTCGCTCGCCGCCGATTCTCCCTCCCGTTTGTCATTTGCCGTTGATGGGCTGCTGATTTGGCGTTGGGTGCTGCTGTTCCAGATGGGGGTACCTGTGCCGCACGGGCCTGCATGACAAGTCCGCCCTGACGCGCCAGATCGAGAAGTGGGCGGACATCTACACCTCACGAGTGTCCAATTTCAAGCGCTACACGCCCTTCATGTACTTCCGCTCCCCGTCCCAGTCGCTCGCGCACGACCGGCGGATCGTGGAGCCCAATGAGGACCCCGAGTTCAAAGAAATGATCTGGCAGCAAAACGGGTGCCTCGAACAGACCTAGCAGCGGAGGGCGTGGCGGTCCCGGTTATCTGCTTCTTATTTTGTTCTCTTGTCCGCGAACTGGGACGCCCTGCAAGGCAAAGGGGTGGACGCCTTTCAGCTTGGTGCGATACTACTCCAGTCGCATCAACACCCCAACTTATAACAGCCCTTATTTCTGGATCTTATTTGTTAATTGCCTGCTGGGTGGCAGCGATCTCTCTGGGATAGCAGGCGGGCGGTGGCTGCTGGACGGCCAGGTCGACATCGTTTCCGAGCCGACTTTGAATGTCAAAACGGAAGCCCACAAAGGCTGGCAGGCCCCTGGCGGCTGGCGGCTGGCGGCTGGCGGCTGGCGGCCGTGAAGTTTGCAGGACGGGGCGAAATTGGCGCTGAGGTGTCACGAGAAGAACATGGGACTTTCTTTGGGCTTAGGTGGGCTAGTGGGATTATGGGAGGCGCCCTGGGCGCCTATTCGGCCTCCTCCAGAGCGTGCCGGAGCAAGGGAGGGCGCGCAAGCGATGCCGCAGGGGGTAGCAAAGTGGGTGGCGGGCTTGGCGGGCTGGGTAGTGTGTGTAAAGGCGGGGGTTTCGGGCGGCGCCGCGTGAGGGATCTCAGATTTGGGGGAGAGGGCAGTGGCGTGTGGGGAGGGACGCGTTGCTGCTTCTGTGTACTTTGAAAATGAGTTGCACCGTTGGGGAATGCGGCATGGCCTGCGGCATGGGTAGTGTTTCTTGAGAGCGTGGCCGATGGGGCTTTTGACTGCTTTCATTGGAGCTGCGAACGAACGGTCGCGCTTGGAATCACCCATACTGGTACACTGGTGTAACGCCTGGCAAATTTGTGGGACAGCGGAATTGTGATTTGATCATGAGCTCCTGGACTTGCGACCAGTGTGGCCGTGCAGGGAGTGTGCTTGACAAGGGTGCCTGATAGCACGTGCATGCCTGATGGAATCGTGAGCATCTAGTGTGACGAATTTTCCAGAACGAAGAAGGCGTCATGATCCAGGTGTTGTTGCAGAGATATGAATACCCTTCAGTATCTCCGTGTGCATACCCATCACCATAGCAAAATACAGTATAGGTATCATATATCCTCAATATGTCGTCACGATATCGTCATGACATCACCACACCAACGCCAGCTCGGCGCCCCGTCGACCACCAATGACCCGGGCATCCTACTCCAGAATCTGTTAAATACTAATAGTGGCAAAACATACAATGAGCCAATTGTGCTCCTTCAAAAGCACTTTACCTGCACAAGGAGTCAAACATCTGCCCATGGCTCCAGACGACTGTTCCATAGGATGTGAATTAAGCAAAAGCATCATTAGTTCGTGGGCACAACTGGTGCAACGTGTTAGCATCGCCACGAAAATGGACTTGCGCGAGGGCTAGAATCGCGATCAAGGGAACGCGCTTGAAAATCGGGAGAAAAATTATGTCAGGTGGAATCAGCCGTAATGTGTGGCAAAGGGCGGTGTTGCCCATACTCTGAAGCCCTTCCTTCATTCGCTTTGGATGGCGCTTTTGGATATCGCACGCTCCCAAGCTGAGCTGCATGTTGAAATTCAAATTGGGGCGCCTCGTGCGGTGTTTCCACACCCATGAGCCTGAGCAGGCCCCACTTGAGGGATGTGGTAGCCCGGGGCAGTCATCGCCACTGCGATAGGACGTTACAAGGCTCTTCAAGCTGAGGCAGCCGTGACATGCTCGCATTTCCGCCAGTACTGAAACAGTTACCGAAATATAATGCCGAAATAGAAAATGAATACATTCATTGTGTTGTGCTGAAATGTATTCAATATGCTCAACATAGTCACTATATAGCGCCGAAACACTTCGACATTATTGAAACACCAAGAACCTTGAGGTTTCTCCAGGAGCACATGTCCAGCCATGAAGGCCACCTAACCTAACCTAACCTAACCTAACCTAAAGCGCCCTCTGCGACCCCAGTAGTGCCGTCCAACTCCAGGCCGCGACCGCACGCCCCTTGCCAGAAACCCAAATTCGAGCCCGCGGACAGAGCGGGAGAACCCGAACCCCTCGAGCGCGCCAGCCCTCGCGGCCCCCCCTCCAGCCCGCCGCTCCCAAGGAAGGAGGCTCCTCGACTGGCCGCGGCCCTCTCCCCCACTTGTCTTCCCCCTTGTCCCAGTCCCGCATCCCGCCCGCCAGATCCACGGATCTCGATTCGGAATCCACCGAACGCTGCCAATCGGATGCGCGCGGGAGGCCGGCCGGGGGACGCGTCCGCCCGGGCGAGTGAGGGAGATGGCCGCGGGCTTCTCCGCGCCCCTGCGGCGGCCGCGGTGATCGGCATCGTGGCCGTCGCGTGCATTTCGATGGTGGGCGGGCTTCGATCCCGTTGGCGGGACGGCGGCCTCGGCGGCACAGGTGAAGCATCGCATTGATGGAAGCCCCGGGGAGGATGGGTGGCTCGATCGCGAGTCACTAGGGGAGCAGCCGTTGTTGGGGATTGTGTGTGCCCGCTCAGAGTCAGGGTTCGAAGGGAGCTGCGGTGCCCTGCGAGTGCGCTTATGTGCGATTCATGGTGATCTGATTGATGGCGATGGGGAGACAAGAGGGGAAGCGCGGGCGTTTTGGGACCTGTCGCGGCTGCGCTGTCGTTCGGCGAACGGCTGCCCCCAGCGGTGCTGGTTGCGATCCGTTGCGGCCGGGGAGCGCGAGCGGTTCGATCCGCTTGGGTGTAGAATTTTTGGGGTGTGGAGCGTGCTCTCGGCGGTGTCGCCAGTTCACAAGGGCCTAAGGGCTCATCCTCAGACGTGGGAAGGGCCGGGATGTGGTTCACAGTAGACGGCGGGCAAAGAACGCCAAAATTGGGGCCACTGCGGTAATCTGGGACTCACAGAAGGGGGGGATAGTTTTACGAGTTGATCATATATACATTTTCGGTTGGGATTCATAATATTTTTCTGGCGGGCATCAGGCTGTTGGGTACACTCAGTGCGACTGCTGAAGGGGCGCCAGGCGCGTCGTCATAGATTTCCCTCGTTTTCTTTCACCAGTGTGAATATGACGTAACTTAGTTAATCTAGTTATGTTGTTACATTATTGTTGAGGAGCACAATACCATAAACAGCAGAACCCGGTTACAACACGATTGATCATTTCAATCGATGCTCTATGCCAGTGCCGATCATGGATACCCGCCCTCCATGTTCTGCATTCCTCCTTGCCTCATCGCAGTCCCCTCTGCCTGCTTTCCCCTTCGCACAGACAGCAAGCCAAGATGGCGCTCAAGCGATTCGGGGCCTTTCACCGGGCAGCTCCGGCGGCTGGAGACAACGCCACCCGTCTGGTCCCACCCAAGGGCCCTTCTGATCGACACTCCGCCGACCACGAGGGACCCACAGGCAGGGGCCGCAGACGACGATCGCGGCGACAACAAACTGGTCGGAGAACTATCATGGGAGTTGGCGGCCTGGACCGCGGCAGTGGCCGCCGCCACCGTCCTCCTCATCGCCTGCGCCACCGCCCTGCTCCTCCTCCTATACCTAAAATGCCGCGGGAGGAAGCCGAGGCAGATACGCGGGCTCCCCATCCATTCCATGCCCACCGCGCCGGGGCGGAGGGAAGGAAGCGCCGCGCCGGATGCCACCCCCATGGTCGATGTCGATTCGGGTGTGCACATGCGCCTGCTGGGCAGCGGCCTTTCGGATCAACCAACGCCACAGACAATCGCAGAGACTCCCAACCCAGCGTACGTGCCGCACGGCTCCGCGCAGGGCGCCGTTGACCTCCTGCGGCGCGCCCTGGCGATGCTGGGGGGTCAGGTGGCCGACGGGCCTGCGCAGCCGGGCCTAAGGTTCCATCGCCTGGAGGAGACGGCCAGTGAACACAGACCCTCCGGAATTGGCCTGCCCCCGGACAACTGCGCCCAGGAGCAGCTGATGTTCACTCAGGGCAGCAGCGTGCACACGCCTGCAGAGCTCATTTGCCGCCACGGTCGTGGCATGGGGTCGCTGCTGGACGCCGGGGACCACCGAGGGGCGAACGGCCCGCTTCAGCAGCAAGCAGATATCAATATTACTGAGAAGAAAGGCGCCTGCGGAAAGGGCTCCATCGAGCTGTCGGCCGCCATGCCGGGGCCAGCTTCGCCTCACCAGCCGCCCCACGCATCAGTTCCGGAGATCTTCGAGGTATCGTTTCCGATTGGCGCGGGGCCAGTGGCCGAAGGGAAAGGGGCCCAAGGCGATCCGTCGAGCCCGGAGGCGTCCAGGCGGCGCAGCGCCGCGGACTGCATGGAGGACAGCGGCGGGCTGTGGTTTGCGCCGGAGTCGCTCGAACGGGGCGCGCGGGGGGCTGGAGTGGGCGAGTCGCATCCACCCGTCCCTCTCATTGGTGAGCCTCGACACACGCTCAACAGCACAAGCAATACAGAACATAAAGAAGTATAGAGATGGTAACAGAAACAGGGGACATCTTTCGCTATTTGGTAAGTGTAGAGAACATTGGAGAAAAACGGCGCCAATAGCAAGGCCATAATGACATGATTTTGTCATGTTTTCATGCGGCTTACGCTTTAAATACAAAATTTCTTAACAGCCCTACATACAGCTAGATATTGTATGAAATGGATAATCTATAGCCAAAGAAGTCAAAATTTTTGGCTCTTTACACTAAAAAATACACAAATTTAGTGAATTACACATTTTGTAACACAATGTTGAAATTTTGAAATTATACGGAATGACCAGCTTTCAACGCTTTGCACCACTTCCCGCTCCTCCAATCTGAATAGGGCTCCGGCAGTGTTCGCAACATCCATTTCCCTGGCAACTCGCCTGGGGCCACACCCAACGAACCGTGATGCAGCACGGCACATCGCAGCAAAAGCTACAGTAAGCGGAGCGCAGCACAGCGAAACGCAGTGTATTGATATCATTTTTCCTCAACACCACGCTGAAGGTATCACACATATATGACAGGTATACATCCATCCCACATATCTTGTGATAAGACCGGGGAGGCACCTGGACGCTAAAATGTGATGTAGCATTTCGGCACCAAGAAGAGAAAACACGCTGAAGGGGCGGGCATTAAAATGTGGAACACATATCAGGCAAACTGTGTCTCAGTCAGCTTTTCTTCGACGTCGCTGCAGATCTCGGCGAGAGGCGTCCAGCGCGGGCGCCGTCCAAAGCGCCTGCGATCCTCATGCAGCCGTCAAGACCTGCCCCCCCGCCGCCGCGCCCCGCTAGCCTCCCGCCCGCCCAGTTCCCCTTCTCCAGCTTCGCTCTGGAATCCGCGGAGCTCTCCCAGGAGGACTCCGCTTCCGAGTCCGGACGCCGAGGCGGCCACTCCGCCGGCGACCCCGGCAAATCGGAAAGCACGATTACGTCACCGCTGCAGGCCCATCGGCCGGGCCTCACGGTCGTTGTCCCTTTCTTCGGCAACCCCGTTTTCGACGGCGCAAGTGCGCAGCTGATGGCGCAGGAAGGGGCAGAAGAGGTGGGTTTGGAGGAGGTCAGGCGGTCGCAGGTGGCCAGGAGGCTGTCGCTGGGCGAGGAGCTGCCGGTTGAGGAGTTGGCGGACGGCGGGAGCTCGGAGGGCGAGGACGGGGGGGGGAGGGAGGAAGAATCGCCAGGGGATGAGCGGTCCTGGTCGCGGGACTCGTCGACTCGGAAGCTGGGCGGTCAGGTTGGGCCAAGGCGCTTGCGCGGCGGCGTGGGAGGGTTGTCACGTACCCATTGTCACCAGATATGAACGTCATGAAGGGGTCACTAAGGTCATGAAGGGTACTAGGGACATTAATCCCAAATCTAAACAACACCCCAAACCCGAAAATGACCTCCACGACTTCATGATGCTCATGACACCCATTACTTCATTCCTTTACGGCTTTCATGAAGTTCATCACTTCATGTCCGAATATGAAGGGTATCAGGTATTTGTGCGGCGTGGGTGGGAGAGCCGGTGCGCTGGGGACGGGCGTGAAGGAGAACACTTGTAAAATTCAGGACGTGGTCGCGGTTGAACACGCGGTAAGCAGCGCGCTCATTACGTTTGACGATCCAGCGCGTCTCGAATGCGGACCTGGAGAGGGTGAGATGGAAGGTTCCATGGTTGCGGTATTGAGCCAATGGGAAGGGTGCCGAGCGCCTACATTTGTTGTTTAAGAGCGTTCGCAAGAATTTGCGTCGTGCACGTCATCAGCGGAGGCCACGGCCACTGACATAGCCACTGGCCGGTGGCGACAGGCGTCAGCTACCTGCAACGCGCCTACGGCAGCATTTGGAAAAGGAAACGAAGGCACGTAAATGTCGGGGTGCTGTATGGGCGTCGGCGTAAGCCACTGTGAACATTAGGGCACTGCTTGGTGTGCTCTCGGCGTTGTTGCAAATCTTGCTACTGACAATTTTGCTACTTGGGAAGTGTGTGGAAGTTGCAGAAAGTCGCGCACCAAGAAGCCTTGCTGTCCTGATGCAAATTTGTGAAAGAATGTATCATTGAAATATTTGAAGCATGAATACCGTTTTCTGTGCGTAAAGTTTCAGGCTGCAATATCGCTGTCTCAAGCTCAGTCGATGATATCTGGCAGGAAGCGTCAATGCTTGAGAGTCGCTCGTTTATCCTGGGCACCAAACTGAAGATGTTGATTCTGTCGATTTTGGCCAGGTATCCCATCTCCAGACGAGAACAGGCTACTGGAACCTGGACAACAGCAGCGAAGGCATGGATGGTGCGAGAACGCGAGCCATTGTATAAGTTAATTTTGCCTCTTTTCTGATGTGCACAACAGGGGAGGTAATCAAAAGAAAATGCCTTCTGCGTAATTCTACTGTGAGATAGCGCGAAGACATAACCGCAACAATTCAATTTGAATTGAATTTGATACTAGAGACAGCCTTCCAGAAGTCAGATATCGCATTCTCCGCCTCATCTCGAATCAGCTTCTTCGCCACAAACGGTGTGCGTTACTCGATATCTCAGCTTGCGCCCCACCAACTGGTGGCCAACATGGCGCGAGGATCCTGGCGGGCATATGCTGATTAAGTTCCGCACGTTTCGAAAGAAAATTTTGGTTCACTCCACGGCGAACGTTTCCCATGGATTCGATGCGCTTGTGAATGTGTGTGTGTGTCACTAAGAAAAAAAGGCCAAATAATATGTGTTCAAACGTTTACAGCAAAGTTTACGGGTTTGGGTTATTTACGTGTTTTCAGAATTCGAAACACTGATGAAATGCAAATATATGTGTTTGCCAAAAGTGTTATTTGGTACTTTTTCTGATAGTGTGTGGGGCGGCTGGTTGGCGTGGGTTTGGCAAAGGCACACTCCCCAATGTTTGTTTGACACACCTCGTTCACCCTGCTGAGATGCTGGTGTCGACCCACACTCCCTGCATGAGTGAGAGCCATGGGCAAGGAACCCGGCTCGCAGTGACCCCGGCTGGAGCTGACCCTCACACCCAAAAGTTGATCTGACTTCAGGTGCCCGCGTCTGCAAGTGGAACGTGGGATGCGATCTCCGCTCGGATGCCCACGTCGAGGCTCCACACAAGTCATACTCGCAGTGCTCCACGCCGCCACACCTCCGCCTTTCTGTGGCGGAGTCGATCAGCCACCCCCTGGCCTCATTCCCGACAATCGAGGGTTCCGTCCACAGCGGCCAAACTTCCCCAGGAGGTGGGGTTGGGGTTCTCGGGGACCGCAGCCGGCAGGCCTCCAGGGGCTGCGCCACCGAGGAAGCTTCTCCCCAGCCAGTGTGGGCGCCGGCCGATGAAGGGAACGGAGAGGCCCGCGCTGAAGGCGATGGACCGCTCTGGGTGGACAACACTGCCTTCGGCATTGACTCCATGGAAGACGTGCAGGTGTTCGCTCACACCAAAACCCCAATCCTCCGTTTCTGAATTTAATTGCCTGTACACTGCGGTACCGATTAACTGAATTCGATTGCCTTGGGCAGAGACAGACAGATTGTTGCTCTTTCACCTGGATGGCAACAGCGCGCATAGTTGCAGCAACAGGTGGACGAAATATTCAAATAGGGAATGGGCAGAATCAGCCAGATCAGAAAGCTGACGGCCACCTCCTCGCCTTGTTATGCAAGCTTTCGTGATGATGATGAAATATTCACTACTTGGGGCTTGGAGGTGATCAGCACACAATCGCACATGCAATCAGTCACAACGCGCACTGTCTGCCCAGTTGCGTCTGCTGGTTTCCTTCAATCACGCCGACGAAGGCAGGCAGGGCCGAGGGGTGGCGACCCCTGACTGGGGCCTGTAGGCTCGAGTACACGGCAACGGTTTACAGTGGAGCAAAAGCACAACAGGAATTCTGTCCCTAACATTTGGTCTGTCCATCAATGCCCTTGATTCAGACGCGGCTGTCTCATCACCTCTTAGTGCGTCCACCTAATAATGATACTCAACCAGTTTTGGTTACAGCAGCGCAACGCCTGTCCCGCAGGTGCTGGTCGGGCCACCGTGTGCGAGCCGCCGGCTCCCCTCGGAGCGCATTCTCACCGAAGAGGTGTACGCTGCTGCTGCCAACTCCCCGAAGGGCGGCGGGCGCTATGCCGAGGACGCCGAGTGCGTCGACACGGAGTCGTTCTCCTCCAAGGAGAACACGCCGCCCGGGGGCGGGGCCGGTTGGGCCGCTCGGGCCCCAAGGCACTGGGCGAGGAGGCGCGAGGGCCGGGCCGGCGGGTCCAGCGGCTCTTCCAGCGAGCTGGGAAGCTTCCAGAAGTACCTGGCGGTGAGAAAGGCTGCCCGCCAGCGTTCAGCCGTAGGCGGCTCTCCAAACCTGCCTTTGGAGGTGTCGCTGGAGGAGAGGAGGGGTGAGGCGTGCCGCGGCAGCGGGCGGGGCGTGCGCATAGTGGAAGCGGTTGGGGCGCGGGTGGCCAAATCGCGGTCAGGGCATGGGGTAGGCGAGGGGGAGTCTGTGGTCGGGGAGTCCTCCCACAAGGAAGTTGCCAGGGAGTTCCTTGTGGACCGCGCCAATGTGCAGCGGGGCGTGCACCGGAAGAGGACGGTGGGCGGGAGGCGTGGGGATGAGTGAGCGAGCCGTTTTGGTGCCACCCGCGGGTGCCCGTTCAGGGGGAGGGGTCATCATGGACGGGTCGATTTGCAGGCTTCGTGTGAGGGTGTGGGTGCAGCACGGGTGTGTGTGTGTGTGTGTTGGATTGGTGGAGTCGCGCACCAAGACGAGGCACAATGGGAACCTTCCACCACGGAAGGATCACCTCAGATATGTTGCGCTGTCGATTCCCTTGGTGTGTTGTAGAGTAACTACCGACGCTCGGAGCGCACTGCTGCTGCGCTGTGATGTAAGCATGGGGTATCATGTGAACGACGCTTCACAGATCCGTCCGTCTAGGCGCACACGGATTCTGCGGGTGGCGCACATTTCGTCAATTCGATCAGTTTGGTGGCCGGGAGGCTGGGCGTTATCTCGGATGCCCGCAAAGCCATCCCAGCTGAAAGTTCTATCACCTCGTACAAGGCAGGTGATACAACACACCCGGGCATCCTCGTGGCCGCAGCCTTGAGCATGGACTCCGCAATCAAACGCAAGGCACCTTCGGACGCCAGATTCTGCACGGCAGTTGCGAGTTTGACTTCCACCCAGCAGCCCCAGCTTTTCTGCCGAGCATTGTTGGACAGTCGCACAAAACATCTCGAATTTGATAGTGAAATTGTACGATCCCACGTTATGGGCCACATAAAATCCCCCCCCGGGTTCAACCCCCTCTCATTTGGGCACGTTTCTGACGGCATCATCCATGGCGTCGGCTAAGTAGCCGCAGGTCTTGGCCGACAAACCCGCCATGGAGATGCGCCCGTCCAGCGTCATGTAGATGTGCCACTTCTTGGTGACGTGCTCCACCTGGCGCTTCGACAGGCCCGTGTAGCTGAACATGCCGATCTGCTTCAGGATGTGTTCCCAGCTGCCCGGCGTGCCCCGCTGCCTGAGCGCCTCGTGCAGCTTGCTGCGCATCAGCTTGATGCGGTCCGCCATGCCGGACAGCTCGACCTGCATGATGAAGAGCGACCTCGGTTCAGAGACGGAAATCATGACACATTGTTGTGACCAGAACTGAGGGAGTATTGCTAATAGCTGGACGCATGAAGAGGTGATGAGGCAATAGGGGCAGAATTAAGGACACTGATGAAGGACCGGATATATAATGGACAGCATTCTTGCTGTCCCTTTCCTCCGCTGTAAACCGTTGCCTTGTGCTCGAGCCCATGGTCCCCAGTCGAGGGCCGCCCCCCCTCGACCCTGCCTGGCTTCGTAAGCGCTTATCACCGCACTGATGACATCATGGCCAGGCGCCATGATGATGTTATGACTGTGGCGACAATGATGACGATACTGATGATATCATCAATGCTTGGGTCGCTCTAGGGACAGACTCGCCTATAGACCGCGCGCTTGGCGATCCACTCAACTACGCATTCGCTGTGACGACATCGAACATGGCGGCAGCGCAGATTGCATTAAGGGGCGACAATGCGCGAATGCAAGGCAAGGTCAGCAACAGATCATGATGACGATATTGAAATAATTGTTGAACAAATAAGAACAGAAAATACAAACAATGCAACTCCGGCAGAGACACGCCCCAAGTACAATGCATCATCGCAACTAAAATTACTTCTGGCAGCAGTCTGATGAAAACTGGCAGCACGTTAGGGCAGAATTACTGTCACTCGTACATTTTAATACTAATACTATTTGCAATACTATTACTATAGACATTGGTTTATCCTACTGCTACCGCCACCACTACTACATCATCATATGCAAATATGGCAAGAAATGGCGGCATAGCGCAATTCCGACTACTGTGCAGACCAGTTTGCCGCCAATTTTCAGCAAGCTGCTGCAGGAATGCATGCGGGGCCTCTCGAGCAAAGTCGCGTCGCCGTACCTCCCACTCCCGGAACAGCTCGGGAGAGCCCAGGATGGCCGCCACGATGCCAGCGCCGTGCCTGGGAGGGTTCGAGTACATGGGCCGGATGACCTGCTTCAGCTGGCTGGCCACCACCGCCGCCTCCCCCTGCGAGCTGCAAAGCACAGACAGCGCTCCCGCCCTCTCGCCGTACATCCCCATGTTCTTTGCGTAGCTCTGCGCCAGCAGCAGCTGCGGGCAGGCGTCCGCAAACATCCGAAGGCCGGCCGCGTCTGCGCTGAGGCTCCCGCTGGCGAAGCCCTGGCCCACAGCAGAGAAGCTTCCCACTGTTCACCATCCCGCATTTCATCCCAATCTCCAGTTCTCTTCCGAGGAGTCAGTTCAGCACATTGAATGTAAAATGTCAGCTACAAGGGAATGTGCTTCCACGCAAATGCATGTAGCTACATTTTGCACGTGAATTGCACGTAAATGTAAAAATAAATGTACAATATTACAAGCTCGCTAAACGGGGCCCCTTTTCTGCATGTTCTACATGGGCATTTGTGAGGCTGGACATTTGCCGCCAACAGCAGATCCTGGCGTTGCGAACACGTCGTTTCGACGTTGTTGCTGCTGTGGAACGCCCTAGAGCGCTGAAACTAAGGGTGTCCGTGACGTGTGGATGTGAACGAAGGCACGGCGCACACGGGAAAGATCTGGGTGCGCCCCTTCCGACTCCAACGATCATTGACAAAAGAAAATAAATGACTTGGGCACATGTGACGCACTCACGTGACTGGTGTCCAATCTGATGCCTGGATAAAAGTGGCTGCGCATTTGCGATACGCAGGTGGCAATTAGGGCTCCTGAATGCTTTAATTTGTGGTGCCCTGTTCGCCTCAAGAAGGCAAATGCAAACAAAACCAAAAGACAAAGGAAAGGGACAAAAACAATATAAATCAAAATAGAGCTCTTGCTCCAAATGCAGAGCTGCCGATGCAGTTCTTTTGGCACAATGCGACGTTTTGAAGGTTTGATCGACTTCAAGAAGCAACATGTTGCTTGCATGATTTCACACGGTGAAAAGCAGTGGAGCTGCACGTTGGGATATATTTAAAAACAGGACTGGTCATGCGCTGCAGCACACACAAGAGCACCCAAGATCTTTGTGCTCTGCAGTGGTGCAAGACTCACCAACAGCAAAGACGGAAACCTAACAAAGGTCACTGACACGTGCGCTGTGTGTGTAATATTTTTGACTGGAATTGTCCATGAGGCCATTGACTGCTTTTGTCAACAAAGCACAACGTCCTGGAATGTGGAACGGATGCAAAACGGCGCTGAATCTTGCATCAGCCGAAAGTTTGTCCCAACCTGGTAAGCAGAATCGAAGAAGGGCAGGAGCTGCTTCCCTGCGATGGCCTTAAGCATCTGTTTCCACTGGTCAGGAGTGGGATCGACACCTGTGGGGTTGTGGGCACAGGCGTGCAAGAGGATGATGGAGTCCGACGGAGCGCCCATGAGATCTTCCATGAGACCCTGGGCAGAAATGTGCAGCAGATTTTCCTGATCAGATTTTGGGATATGTCCCATGCCACGACCTGTTGACCGATGGAACGGAATGCCACACTGCTTCTGCGCATCAGCGCTGCTGTCCATTTTGCAAGTGGGCTATGCATGGGTTAACCCCTTCGGAACGAATGGAAGTTCCACCACCACAACACCACAAGAAATCTAGCTGTTATTGATCAGGATAGTCATTGCATTAGTTGCATCAGTTCATTGCACCCGTTTCGTGTGTTCTCTGCAGTCAAGGCGCCGGGGCCTTTGTTGTTTCAATAACCTTGCACATGTGGAGCATTCACTGACTGATTGAAAGGGCACTAAGGCAAGCTTGTAACACGCTTGGACGCCTCCCACAAACCTGGAAGTTCAAGCCGCATGTTGTGCTGTCGTAGTACCGGTACGTCCGCACCTCCAAGCCTGCCCTCTTGAACACCTTGGTGTGATTGCCCCAGGTGGGTTGGGGCAGGTATATCACTTTTGAGGGATGATGCTCCTTCAGAAATTCAGCGCCCACCTGTTGGTGTTCAAAGAGGTGCAGTCAGTGGCAATTCAGTATGATCTGTATGTTCATGGCTTGTTATGCTGAAAATGAGGATGGATTGTGCAACTATGCATGCACAAGGAATGAAAACATGGATTGACTGTTATTCCCTCCATCGCAGGCAAGGTGCAAAGATGTTGCTGGCGACCGCCCTATCAAATTGAGCACAAGAAACTCACCACCAATGAAAACAAGTCGTCCATGCCAACAAAGTTATTCAATGGCACTCACCCTGAGGGCCCCTGTCCCAGACAGGGACTGGACTGTTGCGATGCGATTCCCCCGCACTGCCTGGCACGACGTACCAAAGGCCAGCTCACGGCTGAGGCGGCAGAACACAGCATTGCCCGCGATCCCCAAGTATTCCTTGTTGCTGTTAGGGTCTGTGACAAGGGCCATCTCAGCCTTGCGGACCACATTCAGTACCAGAGGCTTGCCATCCTGCAAAGAAGTGCAACGCATGCCAGAATGCACAAATCAACATTGCAAAAAAAATCGCTGATAAAAAATAAACAGTGTTTCGAAGCAGTGCCCGGTAAACATGTCAGGAGACAATTTGCCACAGCATCTGATAATGCCAATGTGCACAAACCAGCTTTTCTGGCCAAAGGCACGTCAATGACTTTGTCAGGAAGGAGACAGGAAGAAAGACCAGCATACAGCAGGGACTGCTGTCACCTGAACACAACACCCACCAACATCCTTTTGGGCAAATATGCTGGTGTTCAGATTTCACCATTGATTTATCTTGTGTTCAGTTATGGATTCTGCTTTGCATACGATGAACTGGGGCCAGTCTGCTGCTGCTGTTTGTACTGTCCAAGGACCAGGGTGTGCAAATACAGCACTATCAACGTCTGAACATGAGAAAAATTCACTCCCATTTTCTGACATCAAGTTCCAAGCCCCTATCGTCGTCACACTCCCTGATTCCTTCCAAAATGCCCAAAAGCAGACAATGTTCGAGCTCACCTCTGTGCGGTATGCTCCCACTCCCAAGTTCAGCTTGCTGGGGTGGGGATCAGCTTTGAAGGCCTCATTCAGCCCCAGTATGGGGTCTGCCGGCGCCTGGGACAAAATGAACCCTTGGTTGAATACCCCTTTCTGGAAATTTTCAGACAAGCAAACGCTTTGGAGCTCACCATAACTCGAAATTACCCAACCATATATCTTGTGGGATTTCCATGGACAGCATGGGCATTCAGTGCTCGGAAAACAAGGTGACCCAAGAAGGCCTGCCTTCACCCAAGCAGCTGGAGGCTCCTGGTTGCGCGATAATTTTAGACCATACAAGAACGTCTCGGCAGCCAGCAAGGGCCGGCGCTTGATTGGCTGCCGTGACGGGAAATTGAATGCCAATGATAGATTAGATTTTCACCAGATTCTATATCACTTTAGCAAACTGCGTTTCCCAGATCCACGAAAACGAAGGAAAAGACAGTAGACAAAAGCAGAAGATGGCCAAAAGAGAAGGAGATTGAAAGAGAGTGAAGCGAAAACAGACAAACATCCCAGGAATGCAATCTAGAAGATTTAGGCACCTCGCGTTTAAAGTACTGGAAACCGCGTCATCGCGGTAAGGGACCCCACCTCAGGGATATGGGCCCACACGCTTGGCCGTCCATAGGCCGCCACGGGCTCCGCTGACATTGCCGCAGCGTTCCCGGTAGATCCAGGAGGCGCGATCTGGCCACGCAGCACTTGAAGCCGACGGCTAGCGGGACCCGACATTCGGGGGCTACCCGCGCCAGGCCTCTGGAATCGATCAGGCAATCTCCTGCAGGGCGGCAAACGCGGCCAGCGGATAAGCCAGCGAATGAGAAGACGGAGACTGGAAGATGTCTTTCTGTGTGGCCTTTGGCGTGCCCGCCGTCGCTGGCAAGCTGCGAGAAACCCGCCCTTGTCTAGTGGAGGCAGATGCGCGTGCGAGACTCATCAGCAAAGATCAGGGACTCGAATGGGGACTTCGAGGATCACGGGATTCGAATTGCGCGGTCCGGCCGCGCGCTGGCTGGGCCGATCGAACTGATGGAGTCCAGGCTAGGGGGCGGTGTACCGATGCCCTGACACGTCGCACATGGCGTCGGTTGGCCGCCGGCGACGCCGCCACCCACGATGACACGGGCAGGCTCTGCTGCCCAACTCCTAGCCACTCTCTCCAACGGCTGCGGCGACCACCGCAGCGCGATCGACGGGCTCCATACATTGCACACAATTTCCTTGACAGACGGAACCCCACGCTGGGGGTGCTTCACGAGAAGGATGGTCGTCTGAGTTGGGGCTGACTTTTGGGGGCCTATTTTCGCGCCGGGCGGGACAGAGTTGCCGCGCGGCCCTCACCTGGGGGATATCGACTTGGTGGCGCGCCTGGCTGCTCGCCGGGCGGAGCTTCGACCGCCGACTGACTCGCGTGCCGCAGCCTTCCGCGCGTGCTGCCGCCGTCAATGCGGCCCCCGCGCCCGTTGTGGCGCCACGTTCGCTGTCCACGTGGGACCACGTGATCTTCACGTGGGCGTCCGCCTGCTTGGACCCGGGGGAGAATGCCATTTTTGTGACGGTGGGGCACCCCTGTGCATGAAATCAGTCCCTCGGTCTTTTTTGTGATTCTGAATTCTTGTTTCGAACACCCTACCCCCTGGACCCTAAAACACCCTGAAAAACAAACACAAGCAAACAACCGCCGATCCCCGGACCCATGTTTCAAGAAACAGAAGTGGGGACTAACGTACTCTCTGGCACCCCTGTCTCACCATCGCCATCCACTTTTACATCAAATGAATTGGACTCTCTGGAAGCTGTGGAGGTCAGGATCTTTGGCCCTATGGAAGCCCTGCAAAGCTGCCAAACTTTTTCTATCTATTTTTATTAAACTATATAACTATAAACTATAGCTATAAATTGCATAACTCTTTTTGTTAAACATTTATGTGATGAAGGACATCCATACTCAGGCACTAATGTTCGGGTCGCCAATCTTTGACAAAATGAAAAAACATTAAGATAGCTTAGTATACACGTCGAATAGCTGGCGCCCCGTGAGGCCCAGAACTCCGTGGACAAGAGAGCAAACCACAAAACCTGGTATTGACTACTGTTGTGGAACTACTTGGGGACAGGCAGTAAATGATATTTTCTGCAGCTGTATTACGTAATCTCGCTGAGTCATCCTATTCTACGGTTTACTCATGATTTCCTGGTTCCAACGCTTCGTTCAGCACTCAGTTCTGAGGAGTATGGAGGAAGATACGGCCTCTTGAAGACGTAGTACTTTGAGGCCAGGTGCTGGGTGGGAATGTTTGGAATTAGAGCTAGATTAGGATGATTATAGGTGACCGGGGGCGCTGGGACATGGTCCGTACATTACATTGAGCTGTCCTGTCTGATGTGACGCGATGGACCCGCGACCGG